GATGATTCTTACCTGAGTAGGCCTTCCTATAGAAAGCTTCCTGGGCCTGTGCTAGCATGATACTTGACAACGCCATTAATGTACTGGGCATTAGATCAGTTGTGTAACCCTTCGGTACCGAAAGCTGCATTAAATCTCGTAGATGAGCGAACACTCCTGTAATCGATTGTTAAATCCCTCTAAATCCATAGAGAGCTAACTTGAGCAGCTCTGCCAAAAATAGCAGAGGCGTAAAATCAATAAATATCCATTCACACCTGCACTTTGCTGGAATAGTTTTGCGGCGGTTTTTGTCTCATCATCGGTAAGAAACGTTTGAGAAGCGGCCGTTTCAGAAAGAACAGCACCGTAGTTAAACAGTACTGAAGCTCGCTCGAGGAATGTGTTTGACACCGAGTTTTGCGCGTCTATGGGGGAAATTTAGGTCCGCCAGCTTTTGCGAAGAATTTCGTTGGGATATCTCTATGGAAATGGGCCATCCTGGGCCGAGCGATGGTACAGCTCAGACGGTGACCGAACTCCAGGCTACAGCCCTAACAGTTCGCTTATCCCACGATGATCTGAAGTCTTCCCTCCTACCTTGCTAAGGAACGATTTGCCCGGTTTCGAAAGCATCATTCCATCTGAAACCTTCGAGGTGCTGGGCCGAACAATGCTCGAGTCTCTTTTCAAATACTGTCAGTTGATCGTAGTATCTAAAAAAGAATTGGTGCAGGTACATTTCAGCGGGATAGGGACCAAGCGCTACCTGCGGACTCCCACAGTTTCGACATTTCCTCAAAAAGCGGCAGAGAAGGAGGATATTGAATGCGTGCGCGTAAATTTTAGGCTAGCGGCCTACTGTCTGCTATAAGAAACGAAGTTACACTAAACGGGCTAAAAACGGTATCGATTGGGCCACCGCTAGCGTGAGCGTCCACATGAGAACGGATTAGTTCATGTTTATCTTTTGACTTGAATACTAGGCGCGCTAGATTCAGCCTCAATTCCACGCCAGTCAGATGGGCGGAGTCGACCGTGCTGTTGCACTTCTCTAATGGGCGGGATCCCACCTTCGTATTCCTAAAAGAGCGGGTCATCAACAAGCGAGATCCGCATGTGTGACTCCACCCATATGACCACTGTGTAATGTGTCTTCAAGCTCATACGACTTGTCCCTTGATTGTGAAAATACAAAACTGCGTAAGTTTTGATCTCTCAATTTGATGCATTGGCAAAAGTGATGCTCACACCTAGCATGGTCAAATCACGCCTGAACACTCGATACCTATTAAGGACATGTCCTGCTTGGTCCCGCCCGCATTCTCTTCCCTCATTGATAACTTCGCTCTTGACACCACACCCAAAACATAAGCCGCGGTTTCGTTTCAGGAAACAATGAAAACTCACTCTGCCAATGAACTTGCTAGTAACTGGTTGTTTTGAGACATTTGGCAGCATGCTCGTGAGCGAAGCCGGTTGAAGGCCTGAAGATGGGCTCATTTAGCGCGAAACAAATCAAGATCGATACCCGGCAAGCGATACCTCAATAGCTTCCCTCAACACTTGTGCATTTGGAGACGATCCTTTGAATAGCGTGGTGAAAAATATCGTCAAGGGTTTCACTAGGTCCACATCGTTTGTAGTTTTGAGTGGTACGGCGAGAAAACCGTACTGATTCGACTGTAACAGCGGAAAGCAGTTCAGTACTGACAACAAGACCAAGCCGGTGACAGGACGAATAGGCGAGGGAGAGATGTCAAGCACAAAAATGCTGAGTTATGGGCAAAATTCAGACCTCAGGTTGGAGTCGAACCTTGAACCCTCATGTCCCGGTGACTGGTCGAGTGCGCTATCCATTATGCCATCGGGGCCGCTCCTACCCTCTCGGCACGCTCTGGTTTTAATGAGATTCCCGAGCTTATTTTGATTGATCATTAGGGAAACTGACTGACTTTCATGGGAAGGTGAATTTTCTGGGCAGAGGTATGTAGTAGGACGAAGTGCTACGGCGCGGCCCGATCATGTCGCGTCACTATCCTATTCAGAGAGGACGCAGACGAGTACACGTGAAGCGACAAAATCGCGCCGTTGCATAGCTCCCTCTCCGTTCCTCCCCCGAGATTCTTTGAGCCAACTTACGTATTGTGTACAGATAGCAGTGGATTCGAGTGCTCTGGGCTCTTTGCGTATTCCTAGAGCTCTTGAGAGTAAGGTTCGATTGCGCGGCTTCTCCTCGCAACCATCCATTCCAGTGAACAAACTAAAAATGAGGCATTCCTTCCCTCCGCGAAGAATTGCTTGCTGTCAGAGGAATGATAAGTAAGAGGTCACAAAAACAAGTCTAGCACTCGCATTCCAAGCGCGGTTGGTTAGTGTAAACTCTTGAAATCTTTGGATTGCACCGTGCTTTAGCGCAAATTGCCAGACCAACCCATGCTGGGTCGATAGTTTAGGCCAACCTAGCCGGTCCACGGATTGCTTGAATTCGACCTTCCAAGCTGCATCAGTTTCTTGGAAAATGTCACCTGCTATGAAGCTTTCTCCCACGTCTTGCTAATCAAGATTGCATGAGAGCAAGTGGTTGGCAGTGGGCGGAGCCCTAAGCGCGTCACAAGTCCCCAACTTCCTTGTCATACACTTTCAAGCGGCAGAGGTGGCCTGAGCTATGCAGCTTCGCAACTGCGTAAGGGTTTAACCCCTGAGGAAACTACAAAATACTCGTTTAAGTTAAACTGAATTAAGACGCAGTAAAGGCTGACAAAAGCTGACGCAATGATAAGGTAAGATTCCCGTCGATACCCGTCAAATCACAGATAATCCTTTAAAGACAGCTCCCGCGATAAAAGTCTCATGGATAGCTGCTTTCCAATTATGGTTATCTTCCGCCCTGTACTAAATCACTTCTCTTGTCTGGCCTGCGAAACTTCGCATCCAATGTGACCTCCCGCGGAATGACTTTTTTTTGCCCCCCCACCTGTAGTTTTTCTGAACGGTAATCCTGCCAGTTTAGGTATTCATTCTTGAGAGGTACCCCATGCTGTGTAAAGATGGAAGGATGCACCCTCGCCGAATGCCAGGGAAGAGGCGGCATAGGGGTAAAGAACAGCCCCCGCGCTCGGTGTAGCATGGTCGGTCCTTCCTTGTGCAAGTAGTACAGCCCCCAAGCTAGAGACTGTCCCACTCTATTCGTCTGCACAGCGAGCGAGAAGCGAGCTACAGCCGCTGTAAGTTCTAGTTCTAACGCCTGCTCAGTTGGACCGCCTTACTTGCTAGATGTCCTCCGACGGAGGCCACTCAGTTGTTCTTAGTCGGGGCGGCGGGCATTGCTAATGCCCATGGATAATTCTGCTCCCTTTATTACAGTTTACTCATTGGAGGTATATACATTCAATTCAACTCATTTCGCGAGGTGAAACGCGTAAAAAGCACGAGTGACGCAATTTTCGTGATGCAAAACCTCGACGCACAAAACGTGCGCTACCGTAATCCCCTAATTTAGACACCGCGTTCGATAAAATTCCTTTTTCCTTCCAAGAGTTTTTCCTCTGCGTTTTTGTTGTTTTCTTTTTGTATTCTTTTTTGCACTGGATGATATCAACTACTGCGAGATGTGATAGAGAGATTTGTGAGCTAGGGGTTGCACAGAGACCGCAGGGAGGTGTGACTGTGAGGGAGCGATTTTGTTTATGTTGTTCTGGAGGACGCTTCTTGCCTGTTTTCTTCTTTGGGAGATTACTTATCAGCTACTGTTTCATAATTGGG